CTGTAGAGGAAATAATAGAGCAGCTGGTTATGGGGGAATTAGGATTTTGGAACCAGTACATGACAGATTTTGATTCAGGATTCCTGTTGCCCTACTAAAAGGTTACATTCAGAGCAGGTTTGAAGGAAGGTACTCAAGCCCTCTTCTACTTAGCTAAGGAAGATGGGCATGATTGTATCTTGACCTTTTAATTTTATTCTCCCTTTTACCGTAGCTCTGAGATAGAGGTGAGGTACATATTTACGCCAGTCTCTGTAAGTCTAGGGCAGATAGCTGGTGTGGAGAAAATGATGCTCTTTCAGCAAGCTTTCTGCTCCCTGTTTGTGTCCTTTTTTCCTTCTTTTCTGGACACTAGCATTACAAACTGATGTTTCATTATTAACATTTTTCTCCCATTTTGAATGCAACAGAGGCAAGGAAATCTGAATTTCTATCAAGGCTTCTTAGAACAGTCAAGTAGCTATACTTTTTATAGAGTTCAATTCCAAAGGAACTTTAAATTTAGTTTTATAAACAGACTTGTCACTCTCAAATGCAATAATCCAGCCACCCACTAATATGATAATTCAAAGACTGGGTCAAATGTACTAGCATGTATTTTTTTTTAATGCCTAGAGCAACCAGATAGTAGTGCTACAATATGATAAGTAGACTACAACACATGTCTGATCTGAGGGATACCTAGAGATTTTGTTTGATATATCTTGTAGTAAATCAAATGAATAAGTATGCATTTTCAGGTAACAAGGCAGTTTGGATATTTATTGCAGACTCTAGTAATTCTTCTACTTTTCTCTGGATTGTAAGAGCAACAAGTCTGGCCAATATCATAAAAATGTCTATAGAGAATTGTGGAAGCATTTTCATGTGAAGCAGTACAGATACACGGGAGGTGAGCACATAATAAAACCTACATCGATGTCAGTAGCCTTCCACATAATGTGCTCTTTTTATGTTTACAACAAGATGTACAAAGATCCTAAGATCTGAATAGTATTTTGTCAGACCAACAGATATCCCTCCAATATACAACTTAATTTTGAACTTAAGCCCTTGAGTTGTTCAATTCAATACTCACCAGCCATCAGAAAAACTATACCTAAGTTCTAAGCCAGACATTTACAAATAAAAAATACTTTATGCTCATTGTTTGTAGACAGCATGTCATTTGAAATATATATATATATATATAACATACATAAATATATATCTCACATTTCATTGATTGCAATAAAAGTATTTTCACAATAGTAATATAATAATTGCTATTCTAGCAAACACTTATTCATTCACTTAGGGTGTACATGAACATATTAATATGTAGGTGATTGAAGCTCCAAAGTACAGTGCACAGGCATGGCCTAAGACATTTTTTTTCTTTCATGTAAGAATGTTGAACAATATTTTAAAGCCCTCTCAGGGCACTTACAGTAGTTTGAAAGTACTTGTCTAGGTACAGGTTTTATTACCTCAATGCTTTTTGTACTCACTTAGCTTTTTCATTTTTTAAATTATCTATGTCTGTTTCAGATTCAGGAAGTAGATCTCTTTGGGAACCATATTACAGAATGAAAAACACATCAACTATGAATTAATTTTGAAAGTGTATTGTGTTAGCATTCTAATAAAAATATTCACCCATAGCATTTGTTACAAATAATAAACACACATATTTGTGGTATGAAAAGATAAAAATCTGAAATAAAAATACTTAACCTCCTATAATAACAATAATGTTAGCTGATTTAGGGGGTCCTTTGTGGAAAAGGTATCATGTGTCTAAATTACCTTTCTACATAAGTGAAATCTGAGAATTTGTATATGATTTCTTAACTTTTTAAGATATAAATGAATGTTTGCAGATTGTTAACAGTGACTGTTTCCTTAAATGTAACATTTAAAGGGAACTTTACTAGCATTATTTTATTGACACTTTAAGTGGGCTATATTTCTTTGGCTAAAATGAACTTTTTTTTAATAAACTCACACTTGACACATTTGTCTACTTTCAATAAGGAGTTACTAATTAAATTGAAATCATCATCATTCTTTTGAAAAGATCATAGAGTAAAAAAAAAAAAAAGACGCAAATTTTTGAGCAAACAGAAAGGCTTTTTAATACTACCTAAGCCACATTCCAGATGTGTGACCTTCTGAAAATTACCTAACCTTTTGTTGTCTCGGTTTTCTCATCGGTGAAACAAGGATAATGATAGCTTTCTTTTAGGGATATTTTGAAGATTAGTAAGGGTGTATGAAACCATGTAACGCATGCTTGCCACATGAAAGGGCCTCACCTTGTCCTTGTCATCTTCATCATCATTCCAAAGTCTTCTGTCTGCACTTTAAAGATGTGTTATGTAGATTCTCTCCTCTGCTTCACTTTACCATTAGCAAGTGCAGTTGAAAACAAACTGAAATCTATTCACCTGTGTACATACATATGTATTTCCCCTATTGTAAAAAAAAATGTTATGTAATGAAGGGTGAATTGAAGCCATCCCATTGAGGAGTCATATGAATAAACCTCAGTTTACATCCCTAAATTGCCTACAGTGTAAATATAGCCTTTGTATTCTATATAAAAAATGGCCACTAAAATTGTTGCCAAAAAAAAAATGAGAGTCTAACCACAGAAGGGGGGGGGGATACAGAACAGGAATGTTGTGGTTCTTTCAAAGTCAAGAGAAACTGCTAAACTTCTCTAGTATGGGTGGCAGAATTGATTCAAGGTCCCTGCAGGGAAGATGCTATTTTTAGGTCTGCAAGACAGTTTTATAGTGAAAATGATTGAAATTATGTCCCTATTTTAAGCTTTTTGCAACAGTGCTTTTACCTTTGAAAGTGACAATCTAGAATAACAATCTTGACATATATGAATGTGTATTCCATGAAAGGGCAATAAAGTAAATTCATTTGTAAGGGCTAAATTATAAAATTAACATATGGAGGCCAAAATTGAATACCATCAAAATCTAAGGGTATCACATTGGAGACGGCATACTTTTTCCTGTAAATGCAAACACTTGTAGTTTTTTTTCCTCCACAGTTAAAATAAATCTCTCTTCTTTTAATGTGGATATTAGATAAGAAGAATATGCTAGTCACTGAGCAAAGTACCTACACTCCTCTGGAAAGTACTCCAGAGCTGAGACCTACTAAAGAAATGCTAAATTCACATCACTTCAGGATATCAATGGGATGCTGTAGTGTCTAAAAGGTAGTGTTGAGAGCCACTGTCTTATAGGTAAGGGGAAGTTGTTAGAGAATTGATACCTAGCAACAGTATGGGGAAAGGTATTGAATGACCACCAGGGGGACAGGTGTTTCTGTACAGGGTGCTGGACTGAGAAATATAGTAGAGAAGGAAGGTGCAATTCCCAATTCTGCCTCTTTATCTTTGTTCACACTCTTCCCTCCACCCAGAATGCCCACAAGTACTCTTCTCTGTCCATCTGTAAGTCCTTCTGTGTTAGTCAGCTTTTCATTAATAGGACCAAAATACCTGACCAGGAACAACTTAAAAGAGGAAAAGTTTATTTCAGACATTCAGTGCATGTCCAGCCAGCTCCATTGCTCTGTCCTGAAGCGAGTGGCATATCATAACAGAAAAGCGTGCAGAGGAAAGCTGTTAGCCCTTGGTGGCCAAGAAGCAGAGAGAAGAGAGGGCCTAGGCACAGGATATAAGCCCCCAGTGACCTCCCTCTTCCAGTTATGCTGCACCTGCCTAAAGTTATCCAGTATTCCATTCAGATTATTAATCTACCCAATGGATCGGTCCACAAATGAGGTTGCAGCTTTCATCATTGCCCCAGAACCCCACCACTGCACCTTGCTGTATTAGGGACCATGCTTCCAAAGCATGAACTTTTGGGGAAACACTTCACATCCATACCAAAACACCATCATTGTCTGACTTTAAACAGTGTTCTTTTTCAAAGAATCTTCTGACCCACCAGGTTGGAAGAAGAGGAGGCAGTGGGATAATCTCAAGTACCTGGGCTCTATGCTAGGCACTGTACATAAGATCTCATTCATTTCACCCAAGAACGGAACATTACCACTCAGAATAACATCTGCACAGGTTCAGTGTCTTTACCTCCCAGGAGCACAGGAGAAGGGAATACTGAGTGGAAGAGATGGGAAACCCAGCTCAGGCCAGGTGGGCCCTATAACCTGTATTCTCTTTGCTGCAGTAAATAGTCCTTAAATGGACCCTAATGGCAGTGCTGTGAAAAGCATTTCAATAGAAAAGTAATACTGGCTATTTGGGGCTTGTGCCCGTCTAACTTTGATTTCAGTCTCCTTTTTGAAAACTGCCCTTTGATTTTAACTGGTTACTTTCTTGGAAAGTAGAGTTTGTTTAGTATCTATTATTATTACAACATTTACCATATGCCTTTTGCTTGTTGTTGATGTTGTTGATGTTCAGTATGTATGGGTTGCTTGATTTAAATGTGTAAGGTCTTTGCAAGTTTTGAAATGCTTAAGGACTAACCAAAAATATATATACTTCTCTTATACTAAGAGAAGGTCTTGGCAAAGGTAAATGTGGCCATAGTTTTGCAAATTTAAAATGCATAGTGGAATTTACATCCCAAATAAAGTCAAGGTCAAAGGTCGTCTTTTATTAAAACTTAAAGATACTTAGAATTGAAATTATCACTTTGGGAACCATTGACCAGTTTTTTTAGGTGCACTTATTTTTTAGGATCTTATGCATACCATTAATTGTTAATATTTTCAGATACCTTGGTATTTTTCATGTAAAGCATTTTTATCCTTTTTGAGGGAGAGGTCAGGATTTAAGTTTTAAAAGTAAAAAGGCAAGGGAAGAAATCCTAGTTTGTTTGTTTTATGTACAACTTAACTGGAAATACCTTTTTACTTGAAGTGCAGGATTGGATCTATATTCTCAATCTAACATACAGATTCAGATCAGTTATAGAAATGTTTAAATAATATTTCATTTAATAAATTTCTCTTGTGCTGTTTTTCAGGTCCTGTAGGAGTGGGTCTGAATGAACTGAAACGGAAGCTGCTGATCAGTGATACACAGCACTATGGTGTAACAGTGCCCCGTGAGTTTTGTACTTTTCAATGCTACTGTGACTGCACTAGTAGGGATTGCTGAACACTTAGAGAGCATGCACCCTCTGAACCTCCCATCGGCCCCTAGAAGTGTACAGTGACATTATCCACGTTGTACAGAGGAGGTAACAGAGGTACCATGGGTTAAGGAATTGCCCCTAGATGACACAGATGATTGGTGGGATATTTGTTAATTGCAGCTTCCCTACTTTTAGAATTTTATGAGGAATTTTACCTCACAGATAACATCAATTTATTATTTACAAATTTTCTTCTAAGTAAAAGACTCACTTTTCTATTTCCTAAAATAAGTGCTAATGTTTTCCAGAGTTTTTCTCTAGTTTTATGATTAGAAGGACCAAACCACAGAGAACTGAAGGAGACTTCTCATAATATGAACCTTTCTTAATTACCTTTTATATGTAGTAATTGGCAGATAGTGTTAAATGGGCTTTTCATGGCCATATAGACCAAATATGGTAGGCTTCTTTTCAGCACACAGAATTAGATCTATTTTTATAAAAGTAGTTTTCATAGGCATTCTTACAAATGAAATATGATGCTTGAAACATTTTGATCTCCAGAATAAATGCCATTTGACTACTTAATATGTTGATGTTAGAAAACTGTCTAAAAGGCTAAATTGAAATGTTGGCTTTTTCAAGTGGTTTTAGTAATGTCAAAAAAAAATCATTTGTCTATTGCCCTTAGCAATGTTCTCTAGTTTTGGAAGAGTTCAACTTTATTTTAAAATTATAGTTTTCTATTACCTCAAGTTACATCTTGTTACTACATTTTTCCAAATTATTGTTTGTAATCATTTTCAGCCGTAAGTTATAGGACTGCTGGTTTCCACCAGGGAAATGTGGAATTAGACAGTTTTTAATTCACTTTTAATTCACTTCTCTTACCGAAGTTGAATTTCAATTTACAGGTAACTAGAAAAGTATACAAATGATTGTTAAGCTTATAGGTGAGCAACTATAGAAGAAACCTGAGATGCAAAAACAGATTACAAAGGAAAAACAAACAAACTTCAGTTTTCTACTGTAGATTCATCTCCATTGTTCATCTTAAATTATGTAACCCTCCCAACAATGGTATAAGATGGGTGATATTTTCACTATTCCACAGAGAAGGAAAGAGTGCAAAGAGTACCTGGACTCATTCATAGCTCAGTTGATGATAGTTGCACTTGGATTTGAAATCAGGTGTTTTGACAGCACTGCTTATGTTCTTCTCCTGCTTTTCTTTAGCAGTGCTTTCAAACTATTTACAATGAAAGCCCAGTGAGCAGTAAAAACTGTAGTGAAGATGATAAATATCAATAAGGCCATCTATCAAATGTAACCTTCTGCATTGGTTTTGGTGTTACCAAAAGCCCTAGAACAAAGCACTTTGGCTTCAGTTTATCTAACTGCTGAGATAACCTGTCTCCAAAATTGTTACAGAATCAGAAAATATGTAGAAAGATCCTGGGGCTCAGACTCTGAAAAAAATTCTCAGAGTATTTATTTTCCATTCTGATTCACTTTAAACAGGTGTTAATGTTACAGGGTCACCAAATACCAATGGTTTCAGACATGCCTGATGATAAGAATCTCTTTAGGGTTGCAAGAAAATATATGCCTGAGACTGTGTTTATAGCAAGCATCCCAGATCATTCATAAGATCAGACATGTTTGGAAAATATAACTAAAGCATCAATTAAGAATGAGGTAGTTAATTTAAGAAAAATATATTTTAAGAGTAATTTTGAAATTTCATTGTTTTGCTTTCTAAAATACTTTGGGGCAGACTCTTGAATATTATAGAAAAAATGTTGAATATTAGGGAAAATTATTGCTTTGATGATTACTAGTATTGTTTGATGCTTAATACTACAATTTTCCTTTCTGAAACATATAACATCCACGATAATAGGTAGAATGAAAGAGATGGAACTCTTGTACATGGCTGATCAGAGTATAAATTACCATTTCAGCAAACTAAGTGGTCATATCTATGAAAGCTTCTCAAACACACCGTATGACCCAGCAATTCCATTCCCAGATATACACCCAACAGAACTGCATATGTACAAAAGACATATATTCAAATATTCTTAGAAACATATTTATCAGAGATAAAATTAGAAACTACCCAAACACCTATCAGAAGTAGAATGGAAGCCAGGCAAGGTGACACACGCCTGTAATCCTAGCAGCTCAGGAGATAGAGGCAGGAGGATTGCAAGTTCAAAGCCAGCCTCAGCAACTTGGTAAGACCCTCAACAACTTAGCAAGACCCTGTCTCAAAATAAAATATAAAAAAGGTGTGGGCATGTGTCTCAGTTGTTAAGAGCCCCTGGGTTCAATCCCTGGTGCCAAAAAAAAGAAAAAGGAAAAGTAGTAGTAGAATGGATAATAAATTAAGGCACATTTACACAATGAAATACTAGAACACAGAAAAAAGTAGTCCACAAGTACACAGACCCATACACATGAACCCCACAGACATCATGTGAGTTAAAGAAGCAGCACAGAAGAGGACCTGCATTATTTCTCCATGCTTATAAATACAAAAGAGCACAGCAATATGTGCTCTTTGAAATTTTGAGGAGAGAAAATTGGCCAGTAATTTGTGAGTGCTGGCAATTTTCTGCTTCTGTTAGAAGTGCTCATTACACAGGCATGTTTGAAGTGTGAAAATTCATCAAGATATACATTTAAAGTGTGTATATAACTTTATGTGAACTTTTCTTTCTGTATATCATACTCGGGTCAACCTCGCTACTGAGTCACTTTCTATGGTTTCCTCTGAAAGCAAATATCTCAAATTTTGTGTTTTTATGGATTTCCAAGTACCTGTGTTTTAGAACACTCCTTTGTCTATAGGATGCCTTACTTAAAGTTTCCAAACTCTAAATGTTTTGAACTAGGATACCAGTTTTAATTATTTTTTTTTAATTTCACCATGGTGATTATTCTGGGATTTTGTTGGGGACAAGAAGGAGAGGCTAGAACTTGTTCCATATGCATTTGATTTTTGTCTTAACCTATAAGTGTAGTAGGTCAGCAGTCACAAAGTAGTGGCCTGCAATGGCCCATCTTTCCCTTTGAATCCCCTTGTCCTGTGAATTTCTAGGTCCTTCATTCAGAATCCCTCATTGTTACTGAGTTCATGAGATTCCCAAGGTTGCTCATTTTAATTAGATGCTGAAATTCTTCATCAGTAAAATAGCATCAGACCTAGCTAGTTTAGGTTGTTTATGATACACAAACACTTTGGTTGTAGACATGTACCTATGTAGTATGTTCAGCAATATCATAAATATCTTAATTACTACTTCATGCAGTTCTAAAAATGTTTTTAACCCTCTAAAGAGACTCCATATGTTGGGAAAGTGATGTTTAACTGTTGTAGATTTTCAGTCAGCATGTTCTGCCAGTACAATTGGATAAAGTCAGTCTTTGCTTAGTTAATGAGAAACAAATGTGTAGAAAATTCTATTTTGATTTTCTGCAAGACTTTATCTTACGCCTACCATTTGCTCAGGGAACAATAACAAATGGTGGTAATAAGACGGATTAAGTAATAAATGAATATAAACCTTAATTCTAAAGCATGGTATTGTACTAATTTTAATCTTTCAAAGTCTTAGATACTTATACATACACCCAACAGAACATTTTTGTGCTATGAAACTTATTCTTAGTTTTTATGATAGAATAAAATGTATCAGTATCAGTCCTTCATCCAGTTCCTGTAAAGAGTGTGACATTCCATAAAGAATAGCACTGCTTCTGGGTGCGCCACACGTGAAAACAAGTGTGAAAAACTGTTTTCAAGAAATAAGAACTTTGTAGTAAAATGTGCTTGCTAACTAAACAAAAGGGAGTTAAAATTTTGGTTATAATTTAAATTAATTGGGTTTTATGAATCCATTGCTGTTTGAATTAGCTTACTGTTTCCCCGACTCTCACATTTTTATAACATTATTTAAATACAATTAAAATAACTGCACATACTTTAAATATATTATGATCAGTCTTAAATACATATGCACAGTCAACATAACAAAGCATTTTTATCTCCCCAAAGAGGTCCATGTGCTCTTTGCAGCCCATCCCTCTACTCCTATTGCCAGGCTCCTGCTGGTCTGCATTTGGCCGCTGTGGATCAATAGAAATCGTTAGTACTTTAAATTGAATTACACAGCATATACCTACTTTTTTCTTTGCCCAATGTTTCTATTCAACATGAGCTTGGGACTCATTCATGTTGTTTCATAGATCAATAATTGATCCATTTGCACTGTTGAATAATTTTTATTATGGAAATACTAATTTTTAAAAATCTATTTACCTATTTATGGATATTTAGAAGTTTCTTTCCCCACCTCATTTTTGGCCACTGCAAATAAAGGTATTATGAGGTTTGTATACAGGATTTTCGATGGTCATATGTTTTGTTTCTCTTAGGCAAGTAAGTAGGAGAATGACCATGTATCTTTGTCTTTATATGTAATATGTCACTCTTATAGGCTTATCAGTAGAAATGTATTAAGGTATTTATCATTTACCCATTTTAGGGTAAATCTCTGTCTTTTAATGGGTGTATAGAGACCTTAACCATTTATTAAACTATGAAAATCATTGCATTATTTGTTTTTTAACTCATTATTTGTTTTCTGTTTATGTTTTCTGTATTTCATTTTTTTCTTCCTTTTCTGCCTTCCTTTATATTATCAGAAGTTTTTTTTTTTTTTTTAGTATTTCATTTTAATCTACCTATTGGCACTCTGGTTATATCTCTTTGCAATAGTTTTTTACTGGTTGCTTTAAGGGATTATAATATACATATCTAACCATTTACTATCTAAGTGGAGTTAACTTGGCATTGTTTCCCATAAAATATACAAGACTTGCAACCATGTAATTCCTTTACCCCTACCTTAATCTGCTGTAGTTATTGAGAGTATATTATATTTGCATACATTGAAAATTCTATCAATCAGTAGTAAAACTTTTACTGAAACAGTCATATATATTTTAATGGACTTAAGAGGGTAAAGGTAGACTTCGATTTGTATTCAACTATTTGTTCTTTCTTCATTCTTAAAGATCCAAGTTTCCTTCTTACCATTTCACTTCAACATTTAAAAATGTCCATTTTTCCTTTTAGAACAAAAGGCTAATGGATTCTATGTTTCTCCTCATCTTTATGTTGCCTTTATTTCTGAAAGATATTTTGGTTGATTTATTTCATTTCATTTATTTCTTGTTTTTATGGTTTATGAAAAGAAATCTGTGATGATTTTAAATAATTCTTTCCTTATAGGTATTATATTTTCCAGCTGATTTCAAAATTTTTAGTTACATTTGACTTTTACTGATGTGATTATATATGTAGGCATGATCTTTTTTTTCTGAATTTATCCTGTTTGGGATCTGCCGATTTTCTGAAATCTGTAAGTTTATGTCTTTCACCAAATTTTGGAATTCCAGAATCTGCTCCAACATAATTTTTCCTCTCCTTCTAGGACCTAATTATACATACAGTAGACATTTCAGCATTGGGATTCATTCATGTTGTTTCATAGATCAATAATTGATTCATTTTCATTCTTGATATGGAAATACCAATATTTTTCTGTCTATTCGCCTATTGAATCCAAGTCCCTGGAGTTCCATTTATATTTTTTTCAGTCTTTGTTTTTGTTGTTGTTCAGATTATACAATTTTTTAAATATATATATTTTTAGTCATGAATGGACACAACACCTTTACTTTATTTTTTTATGTGGTGCTGAGGATCAAACCCAGTGCTTCAGGCATGCTAGGTGAGCACTCTACCACTAAGCGACAACCCCAACTCCAGATTATACAATTTTTATTGATCGTCTTCAGGTCACTGGCTCTTTTATCTATTATCTTCATTCTGCTGTTGAAACCATCTGTGATTTGTTTCTGTCAGATATCTTTTCAGTTCTAAAATTCTCACTTGGTTCTTCTTTTATAATTTCTATTTCTCTGCTAAGACTTGCATTTTCATTGAATTCTGGTGTTTCCTTTTACTTTATGAAGCATAGTTATGATAGTTGCATTAGAGTCTATGTTTTAACTTCTGGGTCTTTCAGTTTCCATCTGTTATCTTTCTTCTTGAAAATGGTCATATTTCCTTGGTTACTTTATATTGAACAATTTTAGATTGCATTGTAGGTATTGTGTTATGTTATATTAACACTAGGTCCTGATCTAAATTCTGGAGAATGTTGATGTAATTATCTTAGCAGGTAAACAACTGCCTGATACTAAGTTCTATCTCATTTACCTTTGCTCTGTTGATTTGGATCTGTCCTGATTGAAAGACTAGTCTGAGATTGTATGCATAAATTCAAATCCAGCTCAGTTGTCCAAGGCTTTCCTACACTGTTAAGGGTGTGTTCAGTGTTTTCTATTATGCAGGGTTTAGACCTAGATTTCTTAAAAACTTCTTAAAAACTTTACTATGCTGATTTGAATCTGAACTGCATGCGTAAGGGCAAGAGTTATTCTTAGACTAATGGTTGTTCAAATATAGAATTAAAGTATTTCCTTCTCGACTTTCTCCCCTCCTGGATTTCCTCCATACTCTTTAACCCAAAATGACTTGGTTTCTCCCCATCCCCTTTTTTCTAGTTCTTTCACTGAATTGGCAGGACATCTATTGGAGTTTAAGCACACATTCCACTATGATTCTCTTGGAGTGATTCCTACCCTTGGGGCAAACCTAGAAAAAAAATAAAGCCAAACTTTTTCCCATGCAGGTTGACCCCCTTTCACATTCTTACCTGTTGTATTTATTTTTCAGAGTACTCAGACAGTTGTCTTGGTTTCAGAGGTTTTCATTGTAATCAGTAGGACTGTGGTGTGTTTTTTATTTGCCATATCAGTGCAAAACCTTGTGTTTTGCTGTTTGTAATTAATCCTGCATTTTCTGCTCCATTACAGTTTACTAAAAAATAATTAGAAAAATTACTGGAATATTAGAAGTTCAATAATATTCTAAGAGGTGCTGCTTATAACTTTGCCAAGGATAATGAATAGCACATAGAAGTATTTGACTTATCCAGTGAAATATAAAGCATTGATGCCATAGTGCTGTGTTAGGAAGGTAATAAGGTAATTTCATAATTTATAACCTAGTGGGCATCAGATTTTCTTCAGTGAATGAGGATCAATAAATAAAGATGATGAGCATATTATTTGCAAAAGAAATGAATTTTCCTCAAAGTGTTTACCACTTTTATTTAATTATATTAAAGAACCTTCAAAATAATGAGTAATAGCACAGACACACAATGTAATTGAATTTTACCCAGTTTTCAAATTTTAATATCAGTAGTAAAATCTGAATTTATGACACTTTACTATATTTTATTAGCTAATTTGCTTATTTATAAGTTTTTAAATTCCATGTAAGATAACTGCTTCGAGTACATATGATCATTTCTTTAATATTTTCTATACTCTTTTTTTTAAAGTATGAGCTTTTCTAAACTTCTTTTTTTTAATCAACTCACAGATACCACCAGAGCAAGAAGAAGCCAGGAGAGTGATGGTGTTGAATATATTTTCATTTCCAAACATTTGTTTGAGACAGATGTACAAAATAACAAGTATGTAGAAATTTTGTGCAAGTTTTATATGACTATTGTTTTTCAGCATGTGCCTGTGTAGCCAGCCTGTATATCCACTTAAGAGTTTTACTGCATTTGAAAATGTATTTTACTTACCACAATAATATTTGAAGCCCATATAAAGTGACAATTCAGTTATTAATTTTTACTAATATTTACCCCTTTTTAATAGCTAGAGTTTTTCCATTTCTGTTAAATTAAACACATAGGTATTATTTTGCAGTATGAGGGAAGGTGACTGGTGTCTTATTGTAACTTCTTTCCAGTCCACTGATTTAATCTTAACATGTAATTTGGGTGGAATTTTATTTTTTAAATTCATGGACAGCTACTCACTATATCCCTAATCCTACAATCTGTTCCATACACACACATTTCATTCTTACATTGACACTTCAAGAAATTGAAATAAGGTTAAAGTTGTACACATACCATCTCCTCTAGCGAGCTCTAAAATACCCCCGCAGCCCTGCTTGGGTTTTCCATTTGCTTAAGCATGACTATTTTAGGATGATATCAAAAGCAATGTGTGTTTTAATGCAGGATTGTGGGATTTTATTGAAACATCGAAATGCTTTCTTTGCGTTTGGCGCAATGATTGTGTTTTTATAGCACATAATCGGCTGCCCTGATTCCATTAGCCACCACCCGGCTCCTGTAGTTCTAAAGCTAAGCTTGGTTACTCCGTAGTATGCAATGAAATTTCAGTAGTTTCTATTGTTTGGCTGATTCATGGTTTTATTGCATTGCATTAGTTCTGAAAAAGGGGTGATGGAAAACATTAGAGCTCTACTGGACTGAAGTACTTTTTTTCTGCTTAAGTGTAATACAAGCAAGTGTTACTGATTTGAAAATGTAGAATAGAAGATTTTTTAAAATTGACATTCTCAAGTAGTTGGCCCTATTTGTTCTATTAAACATGGTAAAAAATTAAATGTTAAGCAAAAATGTCATTTACCTATGAATTATATCTTGCCACCTATAAATTTAACTCACAAATTATTCTGATGAGCCTCTAATTTTCCACAGGTTTATTGAATATGGTGAATATAAGAACAACTACTATGGCACAAGTATAGACTCAGTTCGATCTGTCCTAGCTAAAAACAAAGTTTGTTTGTTGGATGTTCAGCCTCATGTAAGTAAACAGTGAATATCTATAACATTGATAATTGTTTCAGGCTATAAGGAAACTGATTAGAATATTTATTTAAACCTTGTTTAAATACATGCTTATTGTAAATATATCTTTGACATGATATTAATCTTGAATAAAGAGGAGTAGCAATTAAAAAAAAAGAAATATTCAGAACACTTGCAACCCATGTACTATACTGCACTTCATGTGAGCATTTCGATATAAGGTAAATATAAAGTCTACTCATATCAGTGTAATTTAATATATCTTTGGTGGTGGTGGAGGAAGCCCACAATATAATTAGGAAATATTAGTGGAAGGAGCTTAAAGATCTGTGTTTGTAACTCTCATTCATTTCCAGTCAAGTTCAATGACTTTTAAATATTTCTGTGATTTCATATTTTTAAAGAATAGGTTAATTCACATATGCTGTATTTTTATGTTATGTATTATTCTAAGTGTTAATCATTTTTAACAGTGGACATTTGGTTCTCAGTCCTCTGTCTTTGATTTGAGTTTTGTAAATGTCCTAGAAACCTAAAACCCTTGCTAGTTATGAGACTTTTCCCAGGAATTGTGCTGGGCAAGATCCCTTTAACAGTTGATCTTTGTCACCCTGGGTTTTTTGTTTTGTTTTGGTTTGTTGTTTTGGTTT